TGTTAAGCGTCTGCCTTCGGCTCAGGTCATGATCCCAGGGTCCTGGGATCGAGCCCCGCATCGGGCTCCCTGCTCAATGGGAAGCCTGCTTCTCCCTCTCCCACTCCCCCTGCTTGTGTTCCCTCTCTGGCTGTGTCTCTCTGTCAAATAAAGAAATAAAAATCTTAAAAAAAAAAAAAGATTCCCAAGATTTTTATAAAATTCTGTCTATAAGCAAGGCCACTGCTTGTGATTTCAGCCTTAGCCTTTGGTAAATACGGACTACTTCCCTACTCCTTGCTAAGCTGCTGCCCTGTTCCCCTCCATGCCCATCACCACCTTGGCCCCCCTGGCCCCTCTCCTAAGACCACCCGGAACTTCCCATGATACAGAATGCAGGGGGGCCCCAGGACTCTATTCCAGTCAGGTACTGTTTCTGATGTACCCGTGTTCTACCACCTGTTAAATATTTTGAAGATCACCTCGGCTTGTAATTATTTTAGGTATTAGCATAAAAGATGCTTTCTGTGTTTAACTTTGTCAAGAAAAGCGTTCGTTAATGAACATGTACTTTTTGAACCAGTTCTAATTATAATTCTAAAGCTAATTCAGTCAGAAGAGGCCAGGTTATGCAGTATAACAAACCACCCCAATCTCCATGGCTTACGGCTAGAAAGTTTCTTGCTCTCACACTCTATGTATCGACCACACAGCTGCTCTGTTCCGGGTCATCTCCATCTCAAGCCCCAAGCCGAGAGAAGCAGCCTCTACCTGGAGCATTGCCAGTCTTAGAGCAAAGGGAGACGGGAAATGGAGAGCCACAAGCTGGATTTTAAAGCTTCTGCTTGGACAAAACACGCATCACTTCTGCTTACAGTTTGCCGGCCAAAGCAAGACAATATGGCCAATCCTGACATATCTGAGCAAGGGAACATATACTCTTTCCTCTGAGAACTGACAGGGCATATTTCTGAACAATAATGGAATCTACCCCAGGGCAACAATAAAATGAGAATATACAACCTCAACCCTTGGAGTGTAGAGATGAGTGCAGGTTTCTATGTTTAAGGGTATAAATGGTAACATTCTTGGTTAGTAGAAGAAGAACCAATGACACATTTTGTGATCATGTCTGAATCTTGGGCTTTTCTTTTTATTTGTGCTCAACAGCTGAAGCCATTGGGCTGCAACATCATTACTGTTGCCAGTGATGAACATGGGATTATTCCAGACTCCCTCAAAGAAGTACTTTCCAAATGGAAACCAGAAAACTCAAAGAACCCCAAGAAAAACACCCCCAAGTTTCTTTACACTGTCCCAAATGGCAACAACCCTACTGGAAACTCATTAACAAGTAACCGCAAAGAGGAAATCTATGAGGTATTTTAAAAGAATGTGTTCTGTGGCAATGTTCTTGTTTATTTTTGACTTTTGAGAAGAGTACTGTGCAAGTTCCCTTTCTTATTTCTTATTATTACAAGGAAGATAATTTTTAATAAAAGGAAGTCATCTATGCCCGAGGGTCCTAATAAATTGTAACATAAGAAATTACTCCATCCTTGGTTAACTATGAGATTTTTCTTTTCCTTTAATTGATATTTTCATAAAAAAGAAATAGCATTTTGACCTAATGTTAAATTTTATGAGGTTATTTAATCAAACCCCATTTGATTTTCATTATTTTATATTTATATTTTCAACTTCTTTCTTGTCTTTCCTACTCCTTAGCATTTCAGGTTACAAAGAAATTCTTTGTAAATTTATTCTTTAAAAATAAGAGGCATGCTCCTTTTGTCAAGTCTCTTTTAGGTACCTGACTACGATGTCTAAACTTTTCACTATAAACATTTTTTTTTTTTAATATCAAACACATACATAGCAGTACAAAAATCTTTGAAAAATAAGAGAGAAATGTGCCTTTTGTATCTCTTTTATGTACCTGACTGTGCTCCATAGACTCTTGCTACAAATAGCTTTTTAATATAAGTACCAAAGCCATATTAAACTATATAGAATGTGCAGTGGAATCATAAAGAAAGGTTTCAAGCAGTTTCTTTCACTCGTTTATGTGTGTATGTGTCAAAATATTGTCTTATTTTTCACATACTCCAGAGTTCTGTCCTGACTTCTCCTCTTATTTACATACTACCCCTAGATAGTCTCATCCAATTGTATGGCTATAAACTCCATTCTAAATTTCCCCTGAACTCCACACTTCTGTTTCCAGCTTCTCCATCCAACTTCTGTTTCCAACATCCACCATGAATGTCTAATGGGCATGTCCAACCTACCATGGCCAAATAGAACTCTTGATTTAGTCCAGCCACACCCAGCCTTCAATCCACAACCCCTCACATTCTCCATCCCTGTAAATAGTGCCACTATGAACAGTCACCCTTTATTCCTCTCTTTCCTTCTCTCCCCCTTCACCCTCTACATCCAGTCCATCCTGTGGACTCCACTACCAAATGGATCCAAATCCACCAGTTTCTCTCCTCTGCCCTTACTACCACCGTCTTCCCAGCCACCATCTTCCTCACTAGTCTACTAGGATAGTTTCCTCGCTGGACCTCTGCTGCATTCCACTCTCAATCTCCAACCAATCATTCTTCACACAACAGCCAGTCATGTCCTTCCCTCCCTCCTCTGAAATATAAATGTAAAGCCAGTCTCATGGTCCTCCTGTTTAAAATCCTCCAGTGGCTTCCCTTTGCAATTAAAATAAAATCCGAATTCCTTCATCTGCCTCACAAAGCTATGTGACCTGGTAGTCTAGTCTCAGGCCTTATTGTCTCTTACCTCCTTCTTGCTGCAGGCCACTTTGTCATGCTGAGCTCTTGTGTTACCTTGTCAGGAAGGGCTTCCCAATGATTCAGCCTGAAACAGCGACCCTCTCTCTCTCTCCCTCAAATATCACCCTGTTTATCACCCTGCCTAGCCCCTAAAACCTCCTGTCTAATATTTCTTCTCTTCATTATCCATTGGCTTATGTATATTGTCTTTCCCAGAACCTAGAATGTAAATTCCATGAGAACAAGAGCCTTCAGTGAGTGCCTCGTTCATCTCTGTATCCTCATTGTCTAGGAAAGAGGCACTCAGTAGTTTCTTGAATGAATAAATGAATACAAAGAATTATGACTTCAAGTGATTTTCAGCTTAGATAGTTCTTAAGAATTAAATATGCTACTTTAACCTTTTTTTAGCTTGCAAGAAAATATGATTTCCTCATCATAGAAGATGATCCTTACTATTTTCTCCAGTTTAGCAAGGTAAGTGATGATGGGAACTTATTTCACAATTAGAAGATAAATTGTAAGAGATTACCCTGACTTGACTTTAACCTGGCTGCTGAGTCAGAGCTAATCTATCTTTACATTGAAATTAAATAAAATTATTAGTAATTTGCTACCACTTCAATCTTTAGTCTTTCAGTTTTATCATGGAATTAATAATTCTCATGTCTGGTATTACTGCTTTTTCCAGAAATGACTTACCTTTTAAAATAGGAGCTAGCGCTCTATACCATGCATTTGGGCAGAGTGAGTCGGGGCTGATGGTCTTCTTGAACTTCAGATCCTAGTTCATAGTTTTTTAAACATCATACCAGGGATATGAAGTAGGTGTCAACTATAATCTCTTGGCAATGGCTGACTGGAGTGATGTCTGAGAAGGATCTGAAAGAGAAAGATGGTCTAGCTCAGTTAGCAGTGCCCATTACAGACAGAGGGGAAAGCATTACTGGCAGAATGCCACGTATTTACCATTCCTGTCATTGAAGGCCTGGATCTTACCTGCAGAATAATGGATTTTTGGGTTCTTTTTCACTATATATGCATGCCACTTTCCATGATCACCGTCTCCTAATAGACAGCAGTAGTGGTACAGACTCCCAATGCCTGATTCTTCAAAATCAAACACTTTCTTTATTTGCTCTCGCAGCTGCTGAGAACATCTACTTGGATTCAATGCTTCCTTTAAATCTACTGAAAAGAAACAAAAATTCTTGATTTTTCTGTATATTTTGCTGAATATCACGTCTACCTACCTACTCCCTGCCCTCCACATGACCTGGCCTCTTTTCTTCTGTGCATCTACTTTTGAAGGAAATATTGAGGTCCATACTGCAGATTGACTACATTTCTCATCTTGTTTTATCTTTCTAGCTGTTCTAAGGATCAGCATTCTCTCTCGAAACAATTCTGAATGCTGCAGGCCCTCTTCATTTTGATCTAATCCAAATGAGTTTTTCTTGAACCCTTCCTCTAAATCTGTTAATCCTGGATCTCAACCTTTGAGCCTCGGAGGGCCCATTTGAGGTTTCCCTAAATTCATAATAATAGCATCTTAAGCAAATGAGTAAACTCTCTGCATGTTTTTGGCAGAAAAGCTGTGAAGCTGGGCCGGTACTCATAAAAGATCATGCATCTCGGTTTCTTATTCCATTTTAAGGGTTGAAACTAAGGTAACAGAAAAGATGGTTGTGTTACTGCTCTCAGAATCTACGCCCTCTCCATTCCCTACACAAAATAATTATACAGTCACTAAACAGAGTTCTCAAACCAACAATATGTGTTTTTTCCATTTCAAGTCCTGGGCACCAACGTTTCTTTCCATGGACATTGATGGGCGTGTCATCAGAGCTGACTCTTTTTCAAAAGTCCTCTCCTCAGGGTAAGGCCTTGTGTCTTAATTTATGGCCAGATCTAAAAAAGACTGTACCTGAGTATCCTTTAGTGCAAATAATTCTCATTTAAGATGCTAGTATTCCTACTTACCTTAAAACATCTGATTATTAGTAGTAATATATGCCTTTTCTTTCTTTATTCATCTCCAGTAATCAAAGGTATTTGGGCATTAATCTAAAGTTGGAGTGGGACTGGTCAGGTTTTGGGTTTCATACATGAAAGAACACATTTCGAAATACTTGGTCAGACTTGCATTCTATTTTAAATGTACACTTAGATTTGAATTGTAAATAACAAGTCGCTAGTTTGATTAGAGTGTTTTAATCATCTAGGCCCATTTGTCCCCAGGTCACAACTGTCTTCATAATGAAATCAGTAAAGTGACATGTATTCATTGTTAACCCAGGATTGGTCTTGTGCCTTTTCTCTTTTTGTGTAGGTTGAGAATAGGGTTTTTAACCGGTCCGAAACCCTTGATAGAGAGAGTTGTCTTACACACACAAGTTTCAACCATGCACCCCAGCACTTTTACACAGGTAAGGACAATGTCAGAAATAGGAGGGGTTGGGGTTTTTTTTTTAAGCAATCAGAATAGAAAATAGATGTTAGCAAGTAAGCCTGAGTGAAGGTGGCAGAGAGGGAAATCACTGATACAGAATCTCGAATTCCAATACGGACTGAATTAGAAGATCAGATGCCGCAGATGTTTACTCTAAAAGGCAGATGAGAATTGAATTAACCTAGTGATACTTTGCAGTGTACAGGTGTCCCCATGTTTTATCAAGTTGGGGTTTTTTTCCTATATTTTTTATGTCTGTTATCAACAAAACTTCGTTATCCATTTATAATATTTAGAACTTCCATTTTATATAGAAAAATCACTGAAAATATTACACAGCATATATCTATGCATTTTTTAATAAATTTAGAGAAGCGATATAGTATGGTAACTAATGGCATGGGTCTGGAGCTAGACAGTCTAACTTGAATCCTGGCTGTCTGTCTCACTGACGGGGTGACCTTGGGAAAGTTCATTTAACCCTTGTACCTTGGTTTCCTCATCAGTAAAATAGAAATAATAGCCTAATTAGGTTATTAGAAAGATTAAATTATCTAAAATGTATTAATATATTAAAGTAGTTTCTGGCACATAGCAAGTACTACATAAGTATTTGTTATGTTATTGTCATTGTTATTAACATTATAAATCACTGTGTAAATCTTGGTTCAGCTTGTTATATTTTCTTGTGGTTTACAAGTAATCAACAGCGATTTGCTTTTTATGCTTCGCAAAAAAAACAAACATTTTAGAGGGTGAACCATGACATGTGTTACTGTCTTATCTCTTCTAGCTTCTGATATCACAGCTTCTACACCAATGGGGAGAAGAGGGCTTCCTGGCTCATGTAGAGAGGTATTGCATGTTAGCTTCCATATTTTACATAGAAATAGGCTTCCCTTTATTAATTTTCATTAGAATTATTCCAAAATAAAGGAAAAAAACACAATGGTCAAAAGTTTGCCACCAGACAGGTCAAATAAACATGCTCTATTCCTTTTTCAAGCATTCCACAGTTTAATCAAGATAGAAAACATATTCTTATAGACTGGACTCCAGAGCCTTCTGGTTTCTTCAGTCAATGAACCAAATGCATGCTTTTCATTGTGTTCTTCTTCTAGGGTTACTGATTTCTATAGGAACCAGAAGGATGCATTACTGGCAGCTGCAGACAAATGGCTAAGTGGTGAGTGGAGCATCATCCTGTCCTGTGACAGACACCAGCATTTTCATGGGGGGGGGGTGGTAACACTGCACAGTTATTGTTAATAATCTTGGGAGATGAGAAACAAGAGTCCAGGAGTATGCTTGTCAAGTAATGTGACCCTATAAGCAATCTCAAAAGTAACAGTCTGCAAACCCTGGCACTGTTCTATCTCTGCTTTACCTGTCCACTGCAAAGAATTTGTGGCTTAAAGGGGGGAAAAAGACCTTTTATTTTTTTTTTTAAGATTTTATTTATTTATTTATTTGACAGAGAGAGCTAGCGAGAGAGGGAACACAAGCAGGGGGAGTGGGAGAGGGAGAAGCAGGCTTCCCGCCGAGCAGGGAGCCCGATGCAGGGCTCGATCCCAGGACCCTGAAAATCAGCTAGCAATAACTTAAAGCCAAATGATGGCTATATTCAAAAGATTTTAGAGTTACTTCAAAATTTCTCCCAAACAGCAGAGGAATTGTCAAACAGTATGCTCCTTTTCTAATAAGACTATGTAAAAACAAAATAGTACAATCTAAGGCAGTTCTCTCATTACAAATTATTTGCATTCTAATCATTAGCATGATTTATCTGTCTAATAGTACCTATTGCTAATTTGACTGCAGGATGATTTAGATTTAATTTTATATTAATGAATTACATGGTTTTAATTATATCATTAAAAAAGCTTTTGGGGTGGGGCACCTGGGTGGCTCAGTTGTTAAGCATCTGCCTTCGGCTCAGGTCATGATCCCAGCGTCTTGGGATCAAGCCCAGCATCAGGCTTCCTGCTCAGCAGAGAGCCTGCTTCTCCTTCTCCCTCTGCCCCTGCTTGTATTCCCTCTTGCTGTCTCTCTCTGTCAAATAAATAAATAAAATCTTAAAAAAAAAAAAGTAAAAGCTTTTGGGGTGAATAATGGTAAACAAAAAAATCAGTTCCTTATTTCTGTCATATCTTGTTCCCTATAAATTTCTGGTAAATATAGAATTACCTTTTTAATAAGAGTACTGTTCTACCACTTTGTACGGTGGAGTTAAAGAACAGGTTCTAGGGGCGCCTGGGTGGCTCAGTTGGTTAAGCGTCTGCCTTCAGCTCAGGTCATGATCCCAGGGTCCTGGGATTGAGTCCCGCCTCGGGCTCTCTGCTCAGCGGGGAGTCTGCTTCTCCCTCTCCCTCTGCCTGATGCTCCCCCTGCTTGTGCTCTCTCTGTCAAATAAATAAATCTTTAAAAAAAAATAACAGGTTCTCAACAACAGCAAGTTTTAAAAGATAATTAAAATCAAAATAATTGTCCTTCCTTCTTGGTTTCTCTATCCTAATACTCAGTGAAACATAAAGCCTACGAATACTTCTTCTGGAACTCTTGAATTTTAAGTACTTCTTTTCATAATCTATTACATTCTGATAAAAACTCTAATCCACTGGACTTCAAAACTATTGTATAAATGACAATTTATTGAAGCACTGGAAGAATCTAGGAGGAGTTGAAAAATCTTCTCCTATAATTGAAAGAACCATAGTTGGCTTCGGTACAGTTCTAACTAAGGGAAGTAGACACAGGCCTTAGATTCCTTGCACTACCCTAAGACTGACTAAAATTGGAAATATATACTTGCATCTCCCTCTCTCCCTTCACCCCAGTCTCTTATTTTTTTTAAAAGATTTTATTTATTTATTTGACAGAGAGACAGTGAGAGAGGAAACACAAGCAGGGGGAGTGAGAGAGGGAGAAGCAGGCTTCCTGCTGAGCCCCACATCAGGCTCCATCCCAGGACCCTGAGATTATGACCTGAGCAGAAAGCAGACGCTTAACCAATTGAGCCACCCAGGTGCTGCCCCTACTCTCTTATTTTTGAAATAAACTCAGAACCTCAGTTTTCAGGACTCATTAAATTCAATGTTTTAAAAATGCTATCCCCGAAGGAACTTTTTTGGATATACTAGTTGACAGTTACTGCGATTATGTCATTAATTGATATATTTGATATCATCAAAAATGACGTTAGCAGATATTCTCTTTCTTGGTTTGTAGGTTTGGCAGAATGGCATGCTCCTACTGCTGGAATGTTTTTATGGGTTAAAATTAAGGGCATTTCTGATGTAAAACAACTGATTGAAGAAAAAGCCATTAAGAAAGAGGTAAAATGGGGGGGTTATACTTTTTCTTTAAAGTGATTTTTCACTTAAAAATGAAGAGAGATGTTTCTCATTGCCCTCCATCCCAACCCATAATATTTTAATATCAGGTGTTATCTGATATTTCTATATCTAATATTTCTAATAATATTATCTCATTGTTAAAATCATAATAGATTTTTGAGTTACATAATTCTTCTACTGGTCTACATTAATGGAAATACAGTCATTCATCTCAGCTACTGGTTAGTTTAGCGGCTAAGAGCAGAGGGTTTTTTCTCTCTGATTTAAGAAAGTAAAGCATGCTAGCAAACTTGGGAAATTTGTAACAGTATAATGAAAAATGTTTAAGTAGCCCATCATTTCACCACCCCGATTTTGTGGCCATTTGTAGTATATTTTCTTGAAGAGCTCATCTACATGTAGTATTTTGGCTGTGCAGTTATTTTCCATGGTTAAAATTACACAGAAAAGTTTGTATCCTGTTATTTTCACTTAAAATTGGCCTTTAAGGATTTCTTCTAGGATTTTCTTTTTCTCCTTTTGTCCTTAAATCTACTTAGTTATCATTTGGGGGCATTAAGGTGGAAAATCTAAATATTTTTCTGTGTAGCTGTCCAATTTACCCAATAAATTATCCTTTCTCCATGAATTAATGCTTTTGGCACATTTGCCAGTCTTTTGTAAATACTAAGATCTGTTTGTAGGATCACTTTTGTTTTGAAGCAATTAAGTACGAGCGAACAGATTGTGTTGATGCAGGCACAGGACCATGCTAGTACATTAAGCAATGAGGTAGTTTGGACGCTAGAAAATTGATGTCTAGAGGTTAGACCTGGGAGCTGACTACCTGGACTTCAAGTCATGCATCCTCTCTAACCATCTTACTTGAGGGCAAGACTCACGCTTTATTCATTGTTCTAATCCTACTAATTCTACACAGCAGGTACTTAGTAAATACTGACTTATTTCAAAGAAATACATTTTAGTGTAATAAATCAATGTTGTGTTTTCTTTGCCTTTCTGTCAATGCCATTATCATCAGGATCATTTGATAAGTGGCTATTTGTATGTATCTCTGAGGTAGGTGCTGAGGACCTAGACCTCAGGCTTTCTCATAGTTTTTTTGGTGCTCTCCATCTATTGTATATATCCTGCTGCATGTAGCCTTTACTTTTTCTAAATAATCTCCAACTTTACAACTACAACCTTAGCCCAGTTGTTCTGGTCATCTTATAAAGAGATTATCACTACTCCCTCCTTCTCTTAACAGCTCCTCGCTTATAGTATACACCCCCAGTATTTTCCACTATATTGGGAGAAATGATGGTTTTCATTTGATCATTAATCAGGACAGAAACCCATCTTCTGCCTTGAAATCTCTTCCCCAGGGTGCCCAAACCATTTCACTCCCAACTCACCTTACTTTAGTAGACAGCGCCCAGATGTATACTACATAACAACAGTGAATGCTTTTGAATTGCATGATTGTACTACATAACAGTCTCAAAGACCTACCACAATCGAAGTTTATTTCTGACTCACATAAAACTTTCAAAGATGTGACGTGCAAGCCACCTCTGCTCCAACCAGTGATTCAGAGACTCTAGTTCCTTCCTTCTTGTTGCTCTTCAGTCTTCAATGCATGGAGGATTCCACAATGGCTACAAAATGGAAAGAGCATGATGGGTCACACGTGGGGAGATTCTTATGGGCAAGGCCTAGAAGTGGCATGCATCACTTCACATCCATTGGCTAGGATTCGGTCATATGGCCACACATAACGAGAGAGAACCTGGGCAACAGAATATATTTGTACACCCAGGAAACAGAGGGAAAGGAGTTCGCAGTTAGTAAGCCATCTGCCACAGTGCTCACATCAAGAATAGCAGTTGTTCACACAACTCCGTCTTGACATACATAACATTTTTATTCATTCACTTTATGTATTAAAATTTTTACCTCCTTTCAGTTCTTTGACTGCACCAATCTTCTTCCCATCTCAAGGCCTTTACACTGTCTTCTCCCTAATATTCTTCACCCACTTTTTGTTCAGCCATCACCTACTTATTGTCCAAGTCCCAGCTTAAAAGCCACTTCCAAATTTGGTAACTTAAAAATGGTCTCTCGTTGTTTGAATTTATATAACTTGTTGGTCAACCATTTATTCATGTTTATTACCATTTCTGTTTCTTTTATAAGCTGTCCTTTGCCCGTCAAAGCAGGAGTTTGAGTGTTTTTCTTCTCGGTTTCTGTGTATTCTTTAAATGGAGAAGAGGGAGCATTTGCCAAATTTACTATAAACATTTTTTCAGGTTCTGTGCTTTTAGTTTTGTTTATTGTAGGACATACAGACTTTTTACATAAAATGATTTTTCTCATGATTTTTTTTGTTTTTATTTTTTTTAAGATTTTATTTATTTATTTGAGAGAGAGAGAATGAGAGAGAGAGAGCACATGAGAGGGGGGAGGGTCAGGGGGAGAAGCAGACTCCCCACTCAGCAGGGAGGCCAATGCGGGACTCGATCCCGGGACTCCAGGATCATGACCTGAGCTGAAGGCAGTCACTTAACCAACTGAGCCACCCAGGCGCCCTAATTGTTTTTAAATATTAAAAGGCTTTCCCCTCTCTGAGATTGGATCTACCTATATTTTCTTTTAGTAATTCCCTTATTTTCCATAAACTCCCTTAGATATTAATGCTTCCCGGAAATGTCTTCTACATTGATAGCTCAGCTCCCAGCCCCTACTTTAGAGCGTCCTTCTCTTCAGCTTCTCCAGAACAGATGGATATAGTGAGTACAATGTTCTCTTCAGAGTAACACTGGGTATCAATTCTATTTTTTGGTGCATTTGTTCATTTTGTGAGTTATAACATTATTTAATGTCCTCTTGGGTTTCTGAAAAATAGATACCACTTGAAAAGTCATGAATTACTATTAAGTGACACACTTTAATGGCAACAAATAGACAAGGCATGAGACCAAGCTGGAGTTCAATTCCATCGTCTTCGTGAACTGTTTTCAGACTTCCTGAACTGTGCTGGCAGATTACTAGCATGTTATGAAGAAAACTTTCCTTCCTTCATGGAATTAGTATGAGCTAAATTCAGTACAAATTCATGAAAGCCATCAGTCTCTTTCTCAGAAGAAAAATATATCAGCAAGGGTCAAATACAATAATATTCTTAAATTAATTACAAGTCTGGGTTCAGCCAAAATAACAAGAAGCAAAGAAACAAGTTCCTAAGGACTGCATGTCTGGGAGTCCGAATAGAGGAGTCATAAATCAAACAGTGCCATTAACCTTGAGAAGAGTCTGTACTTGCCCTCGCGGATGGATTGGTTCTTGGTGTTTTTTATTTACTTGCTTTCTCCTATCATTAAATATGCTTTTCATAAGTTACCTCTGCTTTTACATATGAATAGGCAATTGAAATGATATAGAATGCATATGCAGGTGGGAGATTATATGAAAGAATAACTTGTGTTGTGGGAAAAATGGAAAATAATGATCTCGAGGGCTATAAGAACAAACAGAAATCCTGGGAATCTGATATGCTTGTATCTACATATATTAGTGACCACTGATGGCATATAAAGCTGATGTTAAATTTGACTTTATTGCCTTATCTCAACCTAAGATGAATACTTTTTGTTTGAATTTTTTAAATTATCACAGACTTTTCCTAAGTAGCATCCTGATTTCATTAATTTTTGTCTCTTTTCTATTTCAGGCCTTCCAGAGATTAGCCCAGCTTATTAAAGAATCTTTATGAAGAAATCAAACTCTTTATGAAGAAATCAAAATCTTCATGGATTTTTCACATAAATCATTTTTAGCTTTTAGCAGGAAGAAATGATCATTGACATTAGACTTACAGATTGGATTTCAACAAGCATGTCATATCTGCAGTAATTTAACTAGACAACTTTTAAAGTGCCCTTAAATTCATCAGATTGACAAAATATATTTATAATTCACTTATACCTTTTGATAAATTTTCACCCTGCAAAAATTATTTCTATCCTGGATTTTATTGTAAGGAACTCCAGTTGCTTTATCGTTTCCCATAAATTTTCCTTGAAGCTAACATTTTACAATAAATTATTTTGAAAATGTAAGAAAATAAATTCAAAATGATATATAATGTGAACTTTTTCTATTTTTAGGAAAATTTAATGAAAGCTTATTGCAAAAATTGTTAGAATTTGACTATTATAAATGATTTTCAGTAAGAGTACCACAGACATTGTGTTGTACCATAGAAATCCCTTTAAAATAAAATTCTGAAACTAAGCACATACCCAAAGGCATCAGACCTATTCTTTTTTTTTTTTTTTTTTAAGATTTTATTTATTTGACAGAGAGAGACACAGCGAGAGAGGGAACACAAGCAGGGGGAGGGGGAGAGGGAGAAGCAGGCTTCCCGTGGAGCAGGGAGCCTGATGCGGGGCTCAATCCCAGGACCCCGGGATCATGACCTGAGCCGAAGGCAGATGCTTAACGACTAAGCCACCCAGGCGCCCCAGGCCTATTAATTCTAAATAAGGAAGAGAGATCAGAGACTTAGAAAAATGTGCTACACTGTATTTTCATACTACTACACAATTCACAAAAACACATTCTTATCAGTTATGTCATTTAAATCTACTACACCCCTTGGAGGTACTTAGGCTATACTTTCTCATGATTTTCTTTCTCACCTTGTCAGATCTTTATTTTTCCTATCTGATTATTAAAGTAATATATGCTCATTAAAAATTCTTCCAACAGTAGCGTCTGAGCGGTAAAGTAAAAGCTGCTTGTTATCTCGCCCCAGTGATAACTGCCGTCAGAATTTAGCATCCACCCTCTTAGATGAGTTCCTATGCATGCGCCTGTTATGTGGAAAAGAATGGAATCCCATTATGACAGAGCATCATAAATACCCTGTATTTGCCTTCTCTTGCTGTGTAACAAACTACCACAGTGTTCCAAGATCCAGTAATCGTAAAGTTATAAGTTCCTTTAAGGAATTAGGAAGTCCTTGTCGTTTATGACATCTTTTGTATACACAGGCATACCTCAGAGGTATTGTAGGTTTGGTTCCAGACCACTGCAGAAAAGCAAATACCGCTATAAAGCAAGTCAAATGAATTTTTTCGTTTCCCGGTGCGTATGCAAGTTATGTTTACACTACACTGTAGTCTCCTAAGTGTCTAAAAAGCAATATACATGCCTTCATTTAAAAATACTTTCTTTCACAACTGATGAATTCCTGAACTCTACATCTGAAACTAAGAATGCACTACATATTAGCTAATTGAATTTAAATTAAAAAAAAATACTTCTAAAAAAATACCACCATCTGAGCTTTCAGCAAGTAGTAATCACTAATCACAGATATTAACAAACATAATAATGAAAAGTTTAAAATATTGCAAGAATGACCAAAACGTGACACACAGACACAAAGTGAGCAAATGCTATTGGAAAAATGGTACTGATAGACTTGCTTGACGCAGGGTTGCCTGCCATAAGCCTTCGATTTGTAAAAAAAAAAAAAAAAAAAAACACATCATCTGCAAAGCACAGTAAAGCAAAGCACAATACAATGAGGTATGCCTTTATAAATGTACCCACCATAGTATTTTTTTAACATCTGGATGAGATGTCACATCTTCCAACAGCTAAAGTTCTTGAGCAAAAAAATCTCACCTCCGAGCTCACATTAGCTGGCTCCAAGCCCAAGTCCTGATTTTTAAGACAACCGGTGGGAGTTATGTAGGTGAGACCGGGAAGCTGCAGCGCCGGGAGGAACACTGAGATGAACCTGACGATTCCACTACCCTAAGAAGAAAGAGGAAAGTATACATTAGATTTATAAAAGTAAAAGTAAGCCTTCTGCTTACTTTATTCAGTAGTTTCAAAAGTAATCAAAACTTCTTAGCCAGCACTATATAAATTCTGCCTTGCATTTGTCTTCAAGTCACCAACACGGGGTAGTTGACTTGAGACTGATGTATAATCCCCAGCTTTCAAGGAAGGGATTACCCCTCACCACAATCTATAGGAATCTGTTGCGTCCAGGAAAAACGGAGTGAGAGCAAAGTAGAGAAAGAGCACAGGAATGATTAGGCTGCCCCTGATGACTCAATGTTTATTTCCATCCAGCGAGATTACTTTCCCCTCAAACTGTAAAGCACTAGAAGACTTGCTGCTGGAGCCACTGTCAATTTTTCCAACCTCTTGGGAAAGCTGTTTGGCAGTGGAGATCAAGAAACATTAAAATGTTTATATCCTTTAACGCAAGATGTGAGATACTGTGGACTGGCTCACTTGGCATAAATGCTAACTTCCTTCTTGTGGCTTTGAGCACTGTGCAAGTGAACTTCCGCATTTCCAGATGCCCTTGCAGCTACGGTTCCTGGTGTGAGTTAAGTTCTGCCACTCAGATGCCTGGATTCAGAGCAGAGTTAAGAGGGCAGCAAGGCAAGATGCAAGGCACCCACTCTGCTGGCATAGCCAAGGCAACAGGATTTTATCGCAAGCAGCTTCTTGGTTTGGGGGGTTTCTGATTCTGGCAGAAGTGAAATCCGGGGACTAGAAGTTGTTTCTGGAAGCCCCATTTACTTTTACACCCATTCCAACAATTTTGGAAACCAGAAAATACATAATAAAGACTTTTTGCTTAAACCAGCTAGAGGAGTTCCTATTCTCTGTAACTGAATGCCAACCAGGCCAGGTGTCAGGGTCTCCAAGAGCACCTTCAGGCTTGCTGCTTCCCTAAAAGGACCCAGAGGATCCAGAAGTTGTTGTATTCACAGTTGCCATTTATTGCAGCAAAAAGGATAAAGTCTCCAAGGGGAAAGGTGCATGGGACAAAGTCTGGAGGAAGGCAGGCACGAGCCTCTAAGAGTCCCCTCCTAGCGGAGTCACACCGGATATGCTTAATTCATTCAGCAATGATGTGTGACAAGTGCGAAGTGTGGTCAACAAGGGAAGCTCCCCTGAGCCTGGTTGCCCCGGGTTTTTATGGGGTGGGGGTTCAGTCACATAGACATACAGTGCCTGCATGAGGGACCTCAGTTACTAAGAAGCTGCACACCCACAGGGGAAAATCAGGTGCTCGCTATAAATCACATTGTTAGTATAAACTATCTAGAAAAACAGTGACCATGTGGCTCAAGACCCTAGACACGCAAAACACTCATCACTGAGAATATTCCAAGAGCTCAGTTCCCATGAGCCAGTCAGGGGCCAGTCACAAAAAACGGCCCTTTCTTGGGAATGTGCCTTGTTTGAGTGACCCAGAGCTGCTGAGTTAACCCTTTCCCACCCACCAGGAACCCCACTTATGGACAATTTATAGTAAACAATTACCCAAAATATGGAAGTAAAAAAAAATATGAAGATAGTAATTGTAATTTAAAACGGCAAAAAGCCAGGGGTAGAGGGAGAGGTTTTGTGACTGAAGGTCTCAGGATAAGAAAATAGTTATGTCAGATATAGTTCATCTGCTTAACTAAGTTTTAGGCAACCACAAAAACACTATTATGAAGAAGTACCATTCATTTTATGAAGCATTATGGTAAAATGATTATATATAATACGGAATGAAAATTCAGGGTATGAAAGTGTCTGTATCCTCTAATTACAACTATGTAAAAACTGAGAAGACATCTACCAAAAAAGCAACAACTGGGTAATTTTTTTCTTTATTTTCAAAATATTCTATAACATGGCTCTTTTATAATTTAAAAAAAATTAATTTTTAATACTTCAAGCAAACTAGTCACAGTTTTGTTTTTTCAGTTGGATAAGCAGAGGTTCCTAAAGGCAATGGTAAAAAGATCTAGGGACAGCAAGGAGGGAAATCAAAATGAAAGTCACATCCATACCACCATAGTCAATTTGGATCTGGTCAAAAATTACATAGGTTTAATTTCCTAAGATTAGTTTATGGAGCTTCTGTGTGGAAACCACGGTGTCGCCAAGCATGGTCCACAATGAACGGAAGTGGCTGGAACATTGGGTCTTGGTGGTAATCAGTATGGGTATTTCAAGTTGGCCTAAAATGGAAGTTGTCACTTGGTATGGTTTCCTTTTGATTTAAATTTGAATATTTGTCAAGTAAAGTTGACAAATATTCAATTTCCTCTCCTCCATGTAAGAAAGTCTTCAATGCTTTCCGTCTAATCCTCGTACAGCATATGGTATATCTTCACATTCCTTTTCACCCAAACGCTAATTCAATCTCTAGTGGGGGAAATTATTAACTTTATCAAAAGTAGGTTTAATTACAGTTTTTGGAGAATCTAAAAAGCTTAATAAAAATCAATATCAATGAAATTTTAACTGGTGATGTGTGTTTATTAAGATTTTAAGTTACCCAAAATAAAAAATCACAACTCCTTTCTCCAGAACCCAATGGTAATTATGAGAATGCCATTTTAAAAAAAAGGTATGTCTTGATGAGCATGCCTTTACAGTTACCCTACTTTTATGCTTTAGGATTTAAAATTTCATTTATTCATTTTATTCATTCAGTGAGCAAATATTTATTGAGTGTCTACTTATTCCAGGCATTCAACATACAGCAGTGAACAAAACACAGAGCCTACATTTGGGGCAAGAGTTGGTGAGGGAAGACAGACAACAAAGAAATTGAGTAATAAAGTATTTTACATAGTGGTAAGTGCTTACAGGGTGGAAGGATAGGTAATGATTGAGTGGGGGTGCTATTTTTAAAAGAGGGCTCAGTGAAGCTGGGACAGGTCACAGTTGAGCAGAAAGCAGACTGCAATGGGCCAGGCAGCTATCTGTGAGAAGCACTCCTTGCGGCGGGAGCTGGAGGGTCAACAGCTCTGAGAAGGGACAGCGCTTGATTTGTCTGAAGAACTATAAAGACCTCAGACAGGCTAAAGAGTAAACCAAGGTCCATTAGACTACTTGGCTGCCATGACCAAGTACTGCAGACTGGTGGCTTAAGAGAAATTTATAGTCTCACAGTTCAATGTCCAAGATTGAGGTGTCAGCAGGGTTGGTTTCTTCTGAGGCTTCTCTCCTTGGCATATAGATGGACACCCTCTCCCTGTGTCTTCACCTGGCCTTTGCTCTGTATGTGGCTGTGTCCTAATT